GAGAGAGGGAGGGAGAGGGAGAGGGAGAGAGAGAGAAGGGGAGAGAGAGGGAGCGAGCGAGCGAGCTGCCGGGCCGGGACCACACCACGGCCGCCCGGTGGGAGTGCAGCGCCCTAAGCTGCACAGCAGCTGCGGGCCCAGCGCTCTCTGCGTAGCGGGCCGCGTGCCAGACAGGGCTGTAAGCACCCGCACGTGCGCTCGCCCAGCCCCTTCAACTGTGTGGGGCCGGTTTTAACAGCAATCTCATTTTAGCCAAGAAACTGGCCTTTCTACTACTTCTGTTTTAATTGCCGGCAGACAGATGCACGTGTCATGAAGACACGGGGAGACAAGAAGCAGGGGAGGGCGGGAGAACCCCCAGGTGGGGCGCGGCCACGCTGCAACCTCTCCCTCCATCTCCCATCCTCTCACAGTCTGGGGCATGCACACACGTGTGTCTGGTCTGTTTTCTAAGCTGCCAGGGCCAGGATCTAAGCCATGGTCAGCTATGTGGGATCCGGCTCCCTTAACCACTAAGCTACCAAGTTGGCCCCAGAAGTTACTTCAACCAAAGCAATCTGGCTTCAGGATTTGTATCCAAAGAAGTAAAAGTTAGTACACTTTTCTGGGGCCATTTAGTGTGGGCACTAAGATACCCCGTGTCTTCCTGGACTTCAAGCTTATCGCTCTAACACGGCCTAATGGACACCTAACGCTAAACATTCAGGCAAAGATACATTTTATATGCTTCGCTTGGGAAAACAAAGAAAGGTATGGTATTTCATAGGTTCCACTCAAAATTGATGATTTAAAAAAATCTTTTTTTTAATAAGAGAGAGATTTTTTGCTCTATAGTGTGTGTGCACGTCAGAGAGACAGAAAGTGAGAAATCACCCCCCAGGGGATGGCCACCCTGCAATCCCTTCTCCTCCATTCTCTTCTTGGGATCTTGGGCATGAACGCACACACACCTGGCGTGAGTTTTTCTAAGCCGTTGGACCCAGGACTCGAATCACGATCGACTACGTGCAAGCAACATAACCATTTTGTCATCTGCTCAACCCAAAATAGTCTTTTTTTAAAAAAAAAACAATTATTTTAACTTTATTTATTTATTTATTTATTTAAATTTGGCCAGAAGACGGCAGAGAGAAAGAGAGAGAGGGAGAGTGAGTGAGTGAGAGAAAGTGAGAAAGCAAGTTGCCAGGTCTGGGACTCGAACCATGGTTGTACTGTGGGAGCCCAGTGCCCCCAAACACCATGCCACCTATTGGCACTGGAAGTAGGTGTTTTTTTTTTTTTTTAAAGAATTATTTATTTGATTTTATTAACATGTTAATTTATTTTAACTTGACCAGATAGACACACACACACACACACACAGAGAGAGAGACAGAGACAGAGAGAGAGAGAGAGAGAAAGGAAACCACCAGGTCTGGAACTCGAACCATGGTTGGCCATATGGGAATGTCCACGACCTTAACCACCATGCCACCTGTTGGCCCCTGAAATAGGTATTTTTAAGGTGAACAAACTCTTAGCTCTCCATAAAATGATGTTATGAAAATAGCTAAAATACCCAATAGGGTACTAAGTGGCTATGGCTTTATTATAGATTTATATTTATTCAATTTATAGATGGAATTTTAAAATGATAAATCTAAAGTCTCAGACTTAAAAATTTATATGTAGATTTTAAATAAGAATAACATACTGACAAAAAAGAAGCTATATGGAAAATGTGGTTGAGGTAACGACTTTCAACAATTTATTACACAAAATACCAATGAGGACTTTCCAAAATACTCCAAGGAAGACACGAAGTCATGACACAACTGACCTGACACTGTGGCCTTCCCGGAGACGGGGTTTGGGCTGGACACCAGAGACGTGGCGCTGACGACAGTAGGCGTGGCGGCCTTGCAGGTCCCCATGGTGGCCTGGCTGACACACGCCTGCTGGCCCGAGGTCTTCATCACAGAGCCTCCGGCAGACGAGGGACCGGAAGCTGCTCCATCAGGCTGCTTGCCCACAGGGCCAGAGAGGAGAGAGACGGTGACAGAGTGCCGGCCCTCTGTGAGCATCAGCACCAGTGGGCCTTCCTGCCCGTTCATGCTGCGTCTCTAATTTAGTGGTTCTTGTACCACTAAGATTTCATGGACCAGGAAAAGTTTAACATTCGAAAATGCAGGAGAAACTCGTAGAATGTTTAAGTCTGTGCTTCAGTCAACAAACATGGATTACAGGGCAGGTGTGGGGCCCAGATGTAACAGCCGTCAGAGCAGGGCCACCGAAGTGAAGAGCACCACAGCCGACAGAGCTGCGCGG